AAAAAAAAAAGAATTAAGTGTTTAAAAAATACTATTCCACTTACAAAACATGTTTCACAGGTTTTTCTCTCTTATTTTTTAAATTGACAAGTAAATGTTGCATATATTTGTGGTATACATGATGTTTTGAAATATGTACACATTGTGGAATGGCTAAATCAAGCTAATTAACATATGCATTACCTCACATATCTTTTTGTGGTGAGAACACTTAAGTAGATACTAAGTAGATACTTAATTGCTAAATAGATACTCTCTTAGCAATTTTCAAGCCTATAATACATTGTTATTAACTATAGTCACTATGTTTTACTATAAATCTCTTGAATTTATTCCTTCTGTTTAACTGAAATTTTGTGTCCTTTGAACCAGTCCCTAATCCCTCTGCCCCTGGTAACCACCATTCTAGTCTCTACTTCTGTGAGTTCTACTTTTTTAGATTCCACATATAAGTGAGATCATGTGGTATTTGTCTTTCTGTGCCTGGCTTATTTCATTTAACATAATGTCCTCCAGGTTCTTCCATGTTGTAGTAAATGACAGGATTTGCTTCTTTTATTAAGGCTGAATAGTGTTCCATCATGTATAAACAGCACATTTTCTTTATACTTTTATCTACTGATGAACATTTGGGTTGTTCCCACCTCTTGACTATTGTGAATAATGCTGCAATGAACATGGGAGTGCAAATATCTCTTGAAAATACTACTTTCATTTCATCTCATAGTGGGATTGCTAGATCATACGGTAGCTCTATTTTTAATTTTTTGAGGCACCTTCATACTGTGTTCCATGATGGCTGTACCAATTTACATTCCCACCCAACAGTATACAAGGGTTTCCTTTTCTCCACATCCTTGCCACACTTACTGTCTTTTGTCTTTTTTTATGATAGTCATTCTAACAGGTGTGAGGGGATATCTCATTGTGGTTTTGATTTGCTTTTCCCTATAGATTAGTGATGTTGAGCATTTTTTCACATACCTATTGGCCTTTTCATGTCTTCCTTTGAGAAATGTCTATTCAGGTCCTTTGTCAATTTTGAAATTGAGTTTTTGTTGTTGTTGTTGTTATTGAGTTGTTTAAGTTCCTTACATATTTTGGATATTAACCCCTTATCGGATGTACGTTTGGCAAATATTTTCCATTGGTTGCCTCTTCGTTCTGTTGATTGTTTCCTTTGCTGTGATCATGGGTTTTCTCATAGACTACTCCTCCAGTATATTTAAAATGCAAGTCTAATATGTGTGTGTGTGTGTGTGTGTGCATGTGTGTGTATTCTCCTAAACCCCAAAATACAGCAAAAACAAAGAAAAAACAAGGTAGCTTTTTAAAATAAGTTATTTGTTTCAACAGAGCTGAAGGGATTGCTAATAGATTAAGCAGTTTCCCCAAACCAAAGGATGTTTTATAATATTTATTCTTGCTTATTTTTTAAAAAACATGATATATAACAATACA